AAAAACGAGGTCTCCCTTTCTTTGCCCAGGGCTTGAAAGTATATTATCCAACAAGCCCCAATATTGGACCTAAGCCTCAAGGGAAAATGCTCTCAAGAGATAACTCGGCTGATTCGTGCTTTCAAACTGGTACAATCCCCAAATCAGCCTGAGACCAATTAAATGAGCACATCTCTGGGTGAAAATGATACATCATTATATTTTTTAAATCTCCACAAGTGATTCTACTGTGCAGCCAGTATGGTAGCAGTCAAGTCGTGTGGTTGAAGAGTGACTAAAATTCAACATCGTGTCACCTTGGCTGGAGAGGCAGGGGTTGTAATCAGCCAGGGACACAGACCTGTGAACAAGGGTTAGAACAAATTAGTGATTAGAAGTTTAGACCCTGGAGACAGACCCCATGGGTTCTAATTTCCGCTGTCACAGCCCATGAGATCTTAGTGAAACTTCCTGTGACTCTGCCCTCAATCCTAAGGTAGAAATAGCTTAGTGCTTTTATTTTAGAGTTGTTATGAGTATTAATGTGTTGATTGTGTATACACCAAGTTATTACAGATAGTAGGCACTTGGTGTTTGCAAATAAAGACTATTTTACAAATTAACGAGATCTGGGTACACCACAATATCTTATTTTTATATTGAAATATTTCATAATTTTCTAAAATTAAATCCCGTTATAATTATTACATTTAATCTGCTTATGACAATATATAATTTCCCCCAGGCTGCAGTTGACTTCAGCTGTGATCCTGTGCAACAACTACATTTGAGACCTATCTGGTGGCCTAGCCAGGAATCACCCCTCTTTCTACTGTGTCCCAGGAGGGGAGGGGTAGGTCGTGCTGCCTGCTGTGGGTGATGCCTGTGCTGCTGCTGGGACTCCCTAGGATGGATGTACACGCTGCCTTCTCAGAGACGCTCATGTGCCTGTGGCATTTATCTCCACGGACCTATGTATGTATACAAGTATGTTGAGCCATTGTGAGATCAAGGGATTTGGGGGCAAAGGACAAATACATGACTACAAGGTGACAGAATTACACAACTAGCTTTATTTGGGTGGCACATTNGAAAATGTGTTTAATAGTCCAAGGGACATAAGAAAAAGTGCTGGTCTTGATAAGTGTTGAAGTGAGTAAGTGCATAAAATTGGGCAGGAAAAATGAAGAGAGATATAGCCTGATGTTTGAGAGGTGAAGTCAATACACTGGAAGTTTCTATGTGGCAGAGAACCTGAGTTCTCTGTAATTCTGTGAAAAAGTAAGCAAAAGAGGTTTGTAGTAACAGGGTGGGGCCTCTGATCATTAATGTCAAAGGAGATATTCAGGTAAAACCTAGCTATGGCATGTAATTCCTAAGGAATTTTAGCCTAGGAGACAGGCAGAGCAAAATATACATTATACATGTATCATTTCTAGCTGTGTAACTTTGTTATATTACTAAAGTTTTTGAACCTCTTCTGTTAGCATCATTTATTAAATTGGTAAGTAAACTAATCAGGTTTACTCTGAGGATTAAATAAGTGAATATATGTAAATGAATATCCAAGCACAGTCATGTTTGATACAAATTTATCTTTCTTTTTTTTCTGGACCTTAGGTACAAATGGGTGAGTTAATCCTACTTTTCTTTATGACATATTATCATTATTCTTCCATGAAAAACATTTGATTATTGGTAATTTAGGGAAGAATTTACAGTTTATAAATGCTCTCTCTGCGTGTCTCTCAAACACACATTTGTGTGTATTACAATACATATAAATGCATGTATATATACATTTGTGTGTGTTTGTGTGTAATGAAATGGCAGGGATACTGCAGCTAATGAAGATTAATATAGAATAGGATTTCAAAGATTTCAGCTACTGCCTTATGAAAATATGAGATGGACCCACTGGAATTCCTCCTACATCCCAGCCATTCTGTTTTCTCTGGGCATCTTTGGCCTACAGGTTTAAGGCAGTTCATGACAGTAACATTGTGACTCATTCATGTACTCCTGCTACTTTCTGATACAGGAGATTTTAAGGACTGGACTGATGGGATGAGTGCCATTGACTCCTCCAAATGTAGTAAGTCGTTGAATTGATTAACTCCCATCATAAAATAGATTCTTTAGTTGCTTGCTATCCAAGTCCAGGGAGACTTGAGAGCAGGAAGGAAATGAGGGTCCAGAGGGCTCCATGGATGATGGAGAACCACTGCTAGTGCACAAGGCAAGAATAATGAAATCAGAAATTCCACAGTATCTGCAGGTGGAAACCAAAATCGACATGTGACGTGAGCCAGGGATCTCTCTGCTTGGAAATCCAGGAGGCAGTTGAATAACTGTGGATGCCATCGCCTAATTCACACACAAAACTCAATACTTTTGATATTCTTATCCATAAGATATTTGTATTTCTATGTTTTTTTAATTATCAACTATAGCCATTGCCTTTTTTCTTTTGACTCTGGGGGAAGAGGAGAGTCGGCTGCATTTTTTGTAGAGAACACTGCATGTTTGTTGGTTAGGCTGTGAGTCATAGCCAGGGAAACTCTGGGGCTTCATGACACGAGGGCCTGGATACTGTGCCCATGACGGGTCTCATGGCCTCTTTTTCTATCCCTAGCTTTGCCTGCTTAGTGCTTGGACTGTATGTGAGTGATAACCCAGAGAAAGACAGCAGGCAACTGAGTTATTGACAATGCAGCCATTGGTGAGTATGGAAAGCCTCCGTCTACTTAAATTATACTGCTGCTGACAGCAGTGGGCAGGTTTCTCCTACTAGCATTGATGTGCTAAGTGTATTCAGGAAGTACTCAAGGATTTGAGCCCCGTGGAATGTTCCCAGGACTCTGAGATAGATATAATGGGTCACAACCCCTCAATAGCTAATACTCTTTCTAACATCATACTGATTTATTCCAGCAGATTGTGTATTTACAGAAGAAATACAAGAAGTTTTCTTTCTCTAATTCAGATCATTGGGAAATAATTCACTCATTAATTGTGTTATTGGCTATAATGGTATGAGGGCTGTGACAAATAGAGATGGGCGAGGAGCAGAACATTATGGTCCAATAGGGAGGCAGTGGTTTCATCAGGTGAGGCCAGTCAATCCAGTGTTACAGGTCCTGGGTGAGGGCTGTGATGTATTAA